GGTATATATCCCAAAACCTCGAAATCATGTATTGGCAAAGATACATGCACCCTTATGTTTATTGCAGCATTATTCATGGTGGCCAAAACATAGAAACGACCAGTATTCCACGATAGGAGGACTGGGTAAAAAAGATGCAGTACATATACAGAATGGAATACTTACTCAGCCATAAGAAAGGATGAAACAACATGGATGGACCTTGAGAATATTATCCTAAGTGAAATGTCAGTCAGAAAAAGCTAAGAACCATATAATTTCACCCATATGTGGGTTATAAAATTAAAACTTGTGAACATGAACAACAGTGTGCCAGAGGGAGGGGGGTGGGGGGAAGGGGATCTTAATATATGGTGACAGGAGAAGATTTGACTTTGGGTGGTGGACACACAGTGCAATACACAGATGTTTTAACATAGAAACCCACACCCAAAACCTGTATGTTCATGTTGACCAATGCCATTCCAAGAAAATTAATAAAAATTAATCAATTAAAAATAAATAAAAGATTCTGCTAAACAAATTATTGGTGTCAAACTACTTTGGAGGAGTGCTGAGATTATGTGAGATATGCTTTCAGGGATTCTGATTAAAATAATCAGCATGCTGATTTCAAACCATCTTTAATTTGTTCATCAAAAGGGTTAGAAGAAAGAACTCTATAGTTAAAATCTCGATACAACCTAATAAGGTAGTTGAAAATAACTAAGTAGAAATTGCCATATAAATGTACTATAAAGCTCAAGATAAAACCAATTCTGCTGGGCAAAGAAACCAAACACCAAAGTGGTTATACTTGCCCTAGCCGGTCTGGCTCATTGGATAGAGCGTCAGCCTGCGGACTGAAGGGTCCCAGGTTCGATTCCTGTCAAGGGCATGTACCTTGGTTGCGGGCACATCCCCAGTGGGAGGTGTGCAGGAGGCAGCTGATTGTTTCTCTCTCATCGATGTTTCTAACTCTCTATCCCTCTCAAAAGTGATTACACTGAATGGTTCTACTTTACATGAAGTTCCAGAGTAGGCAAAACAAATCTACGGTGACAATAATCACAAAATTTTGTGGGGGAAGTGAGTAGGGGAGAGTGTGACTGGGCAAGAAGAATGTGACAGAACTATTCCTTACTTTGATCCCTACCTACCTCAAAACATATGTGAAAATAAATTCCAAATAAATTAAACATCCTAATGTAAAAATAAAACCATAACTATTAGCTCTACAATGTAGAATATTTTCTATATGTTAAAAACACAACATAAAATCTAGAAAACATACAGAATAGGTTGACAGCACTGCCTAAATTAACAATTAAAACTTTAATGATCAAAACACCACAAACAAGTTAAGTCAAATGACAGACTGGGAAAGAAACAATTGCAACATTTTATAGAGTCCTTAGAAGTCAATAAGACAAACAACCCAGTAGAAAAATACGAGCAAAGGGCATGGAAAGGCAATTTGGTAAATACAGATGGCCAATTATCAGAAACTGTCTAATCTGTGAAGAAATGCAAATGAAAACCTTACCTGCAGAGAAATGCAGATAAATACAACAAAATATCTTTCTTCTACATAAGTGGTAAAAATAAAAAAAGATAATACCCAGTGTTAAGTGAGAATTTAAAGAAATAAGCACACCCCCTCACATTGTTAGGTGAGAGACTGACCAGCACAGACTGTTGGAATAACTGCTATAAAATAAAATGCACATATCCTTTGACCACAAAATTTTACTTCTAATTATCAAAAAATATATTTCTTTAACCACAGAGACATTTCTGGTTTATGGCAGCACTGAAAGTTGGATATGCTGACTGAAAATTGGAAAAGAATCTCAACATTCTAGTACCAAGGAGACTGATGAGCTACATTTTGTTGTACATCATATGAAAGATTACTATTAACCTATTTAAAAAGAATAAGGTCTTTTACTTATAGAACTTGGAAGAATGTCAACATGTTAAGTGAAAAAAAGCAAATCCAATCCTATCCTCTCCTATATAACCTATATAATAAAAGGGTAACAGGCAAATTGACCCTAACACAGTGGTTCTCAACCTTCCTAACGACGCAACCCTTTAATACAGTTCTTCATGTTGTGGTGACCCCCAACCATAAAATTATTTTCGTTGCTACTTCATAACCGTAATTTTGCTACTGTTATGAATCGTAATGTAAATATCTGATATGCAGGATGTATTTTCATTGTTACAAATTGAACATAATTAAAGCATAGTGATTAATCATAAAAACAATATGTAATTATATATGTGTTTTCCGATGGTCTTAGGTGACTCCTGTGAAAGGGTCGTTCAACCCCTAAAAGGGTCGCGCGACCCACAGGTTGAGAGTCGCTGCCCCAACAGCATAATCACAGGGAACTATCAGTCGCTATGACACACACTGACCACCAGGGAAGTGTCGCTCAGCCAGAAGCTGGCTCAAGGCTGGCCAGTACAGCAGCAGTGGCTGGAGCTTCTCCTGCCTCCACAGCAGGGCTAAGGATGTCCGACTAAGCCAGCAGGTGGACATCTCCTGAGGCCTCCCAGGCTGCCAGAGAGATGTCTAACTTCCAGCTTAGGCCCAATCCTCCAGGGAGCGGGCATAAGCTGTTGGTAGGACATCTCCCAAGGGGTCCTGGACTTCGAGAGGGCGCAGGTTGGGCTGAGAAACCTCCCCCCTCACTGCTCCCCACTCCCTGCCCAAGTGCATGAATTTCCATGCACTGGGCCTCTAGCTATAAAATATTTTGTAGAGGAGCTAGCTGGTTTGGGTCAGTGGATAGAGCATTAGCCTACAGACTGAAGGGTCCTGGGTTCGATTTCAGCCAAGGGTACATGCCCGGATTGTGGGCTCGATCCCCAGTAGGGGATGAGGAGGCAACTGATCAATGATTCTCTCTCATCATTGATGTTTCTTTTCTCTCTCTCTCCTCTCCCTTCCTCTCTGAAATCAATAAAAATAAAATATTTTGTATAGGACCCTTTTCTTGTTAATCTTCACCCTAGGGTATTTTTTCCATTGATTTTTAGAGAGAGAGGAGGAATAGAGGAGGAGGGGGAGAGAGAGACAGACAGACAATGATGTGAGACACACCGACTGGATGCCTCCACACACACCTGACCACACATACCTGCAACCCAGGGAAGTGCCTTTGACTGGGAATTGAACCCTCGACCCTTAGGTGCATGGGCCTATGCTCTAAGCCAGAGGTTCTCAACCTGTGGGTCACTTAAGACCATTGGAAAACACATATATAATTACATATTGTTTTTGTGATTAATCACTATGCTTTAATTATGTTCAATTTGTAACAATGAAATTGGGGGTCACCACAACATGAGGAACTGTATTAAAGGGTCTTGGCATTAGGAAGGTTGAGAGCCACTGCTCTAAGCAATGAGTGATACCGGCCAGGGAAGGACCTATTTTTTATCAAGCAAAGAATACATTTACATAGATGTGTTTGCATCTTGATGTTTTTATTTTTAAATGACTGCATACACACAGAAAAGTCTCAGAAAGCATGCCCAACCTTTTATTAGATTTCCTCCTTACTAAGAAGGAACTTTTTTACATTTTACTTAATGTCAAGTCTGTATTTTCAAAAACCTTAGTATAATTTTTTTTGAGGGGGTTAATCCTCACCCGAGGATATTTTTCTTTGGACTCTTATTCCTTGGATTTTTTTTTTTTTTAAAGAGAGTGGAAGGGAGGGGGAGACACAGAGTGAGTGGAACATCGATGTGAGAGACACATCAATTAGTTGCCTTCCACATTCACCCAGACCAAGGCTGGGGATGAGCCTGCAACTGAGGTATGTGCCCTTGACCAGAATCAAACCTGGGACCCTTCAATCCACGGGCTGATGCTCTATCCACTGACCCAAACCGGCTAAGGTAGTACAATTTTTTTTTTAATGGAAAAGGGAAAGCAAAAAGAAGATTCAAAAGCTCCCACTATCATTGTCTTTTTCTGTTGATTTTCCAGTACACTTTCCCTTGGCAAAGACATTTACTTGGGCAAAGGCAAAAATACACAATGTATCATGGACCACAGAAGTGACTTCATTCCAAGGTGAGGTCACAACTGCAGCTCTCCCACAGCTTACACCACAGTGTGGCTGACAGTGGTGCCTGCTTCTTGGACATTTCAAACCCAGTTCTTTCTTCATCCCTGGCCAAGTAATATAAATATTTCATTTGATTTGGAGCCTGAGCAAAAAGCCTCCAATCACCCAAGGGACCATTCAGAACAGTCCAAATGCCCAGTTTTAACAGATTCTTTCTTAAAACAGTAGTTGAATGTTAATAAATTACTGAGTAATTACCGAGGGGAAAGAAAAACAAGGAAGATAAAGCCCCTGTCCTCAACAATCAGAATGACATAAGCAAGATATAAGGTCCTGGCAGTGTAGAGGACCTAAGGAGTCATGAGTTGCTATTGGTAGTTTCAGAAGTTGTTGCTTGATGAACTAGGACATGAATACAGACAGACAGGAAAGAAGAGTGGGCAGAAAAACAGAAGGCCAAGAGAATGAACCACATTTTTTGCAGCCTGATGAAAGGGGAGGAAGGTAGTGGGGGATGAAGTGGGAAAGAGAGGTCTGGGTCAGATCATGAGTGTCATTAGTGCTTTGTGGAAAGTGGTTTTTATACAGCAGGTAGTTTTTTAAAGCAATGTTTATAAAAGTGACGACTCTGTTTTGGCCAGGAAGCATTTAAAAGGGAAGTTAGTTTCCGCAAGTCACAGCAATAGTAGACTCAAACCGTCCTAAATACTCTTTTTTAAGGAAGGTAAAGGGCCCGGATAAGCAAAGCTGCTGAGAAATCTAGAGGAAAATGAGTAAAGGTGTAAATGCCCCTTCTACCCTCTGAATTCCCAAGTATCATAGAAACAAAATACAGTATGTCCCAAACACAACCAAGTAAATGAGGCATATTAGCAAAAGAAGTAGTTTTGAAGAAAGCTCAACATTAGGAGTGATCAAATTCCTTGATACCTTTGCTAGATCTTTTTGATGTCTTCTTGTTTCCTTCAGAGGTAATTTCAATTTCATCAGGATTACCCCCTTCATCTTCAATTGCCTAAAGGAAAGGTAAATGGGAAAAAAAATTTCACCATGAAAGTCAACAAAGACTTGACTTTCACAGAAGCTCGGGGCCAATGATTTGGAAGTGCATCACCTCCACCGTTTCCATTCTTTCTCTTGCTCTACACACTGAAGCAAGGGCTCTGGAGTTAGACTCTTAACAGTTCTAAGCTGTGTGGTCTTAAGGAGATTTACTTAATCTGTTTTCTACTCCATAACATGGGGTTACATAAAAATACAGTACTTACCTTTAAAAGCTGTGTGAGAACTCTATCACCCATGTAAAGCAAGCACTGAACAAACATTCGCCTTATTTTTAACATTACCACCACATTCTGGGTTATCCTATTCCCGGGCTCAATGGAACTAAAAAAAACGGAAAGGCACCCCCTCCACTTTCCTATGACTCACCCAGCAATGTGCTATCTGACCTCAGGGACCCCTCTCCATGCCACGCCTGCACTCGACACTGTCTGTATAGAATACAATTCACTGGCTGAGTTCCTGCTGTGTGTGGCACGGAACAAGACATGACATGTAGTACCTCATCTATGACTGACTCCAAAGGTCTTGCTCTCAGCCACTGAGGGACTCACCTCAAAGGATACAGAATTATAGAAGCTCTTGGCAAGCCCAGCCTCCCACCCCAGGAACTTGTCATTCACTTCAACAGCTCCACCCACACTCAGCAAATCAGTACTGAACATGTCAATGATGACATCCCTGAAAACTGGGCTTCAGGTTCAGGATTTACTAATAGCCCTTTCTGTTTTTACTGTACTATCCAGTGAGCATAATTTTCTGATAAATCCAACTCAAATACTGCATTTTATTTGTATACCGTTTCAGATTCTCAGGAGTTTCCAGCTTGCTACCTGAATTTAGAATGGGACTTGGGGGGTCCTGCACCTACCTAATCTGTATCAGGAGCAAAGACAATCTCTCCTGTCTCTCTGAAGCCAGATCTAGAAAAAAATCAAAGTGCTGCCCTGGGATCAGGAACAGACAACCAGAAAGCCCCTAACCCTCTTAGCTAGGGACAGACAATGCTGGACCACTAAGAGACTAGAAGAGCTGCTCTAGGCAGGAGGTGTACACTTCACCCTCTGTCTCATTGGGGTGCAGTGTTTACAGGGTCATCTCTACGGGGACTGAGGGCTCTGAGTCATCCTTACAGGCCTTGGCAAATTAACTTTGTTGTGTGTTCCCTCCATCTTTTCCTCTTTTGCCCTTCCAGGAAAAAGAAACCAAGGAAGGGATACAAACTGGATGACAGGAGTGGAAGAGAAAGAGAAGATCAGCAATAATTCCAGACTTGCTTGGGCATGTAGTAGATGAGTTCATAGGCTCACGGTATTTATGTAGTGCCCACGTGTCTGAGAAACTGAAAGGAGGGAAAAGGTGGGATGGATTTGTCCCCTCAAAGGTGACAGTGATGGAAGATTCCTGAAGTCATACCAGTCTCAGCCACCAGCCTGACAGGAAGGTTCAATACCATCTTAGCTCTGCAGGCTTGCAGACTGTCTGGGAGGAAAAAGTAAAAAAAACACACAACTCAGTTTTGTTGCCAGGAGGCTCTGGTGGCTAAGAACATGGACTACATCTTCCCAAGTGCCAACCCTCACACCCTCGTTGCATTTTCTCCAGGTAAACATCTTGGTTAATGAACAACAACCTGCCCTGAATAAAGGAATTTAGTGTTCATAGTGAATAAAAGTTAAGGTTAGTATCCATAATGAAAATATAAGCTCTAGTTAGAAAGGCCCCAACTGGCTCTGGGCATATCACCTCACCACACTTGAGCCTGAGCTTCCTTATCTGGAAAAATAGGAAAAAATACCTACTTCCTCTCAATAGCAATTAAAATAAAACCCCAATCCTCAGTTGTTTGGGAGCCAGGGTGGAAGGAGTCACAAACCACACTATCTGCAGGGAATGGAGACAGGGGTGAAGGCTGAGAGGGTCTCAAGACAGGAGGAGCCTGGCGGGGGGCTCAGTGGTTGACTTAACCTATGAACCAGGTCACCGGTTCAATGCCGGGCGGGGCTGCCGGCTCCATTCCCGGTAGGGGGCGCGCAGGAGCAGCCATCAATGATTCCCTTTCATCATTGATGTTTCTACTTCTCTCTCCCTCCCTCTCTGAAATAAAAAAAAAACAAGACTTAGGTGGGGAAAAGGTTAAAAAAAAAATGAAGCGAATAAGAAAAACGTAAGGGATGCAAACATTGACTTAACTCCGCGTTTTTCACACCTACCCTTCAGTACCCCGTAAGGTAGGGAATACAGCCCCCATTTTGGAAATGACACAGAGGAAAAATGACTTGTGACAACGATCAGGTCCCCGGTGTTTACATATGCAGGCAACATGGCAAGGCCTCTCAGGCCACCTCACTTAGTCCCCGAAACAAAAGCACAATGTTTTCCCTCTTTTTACACAAGCAGCAGCAGGCTCAGAGAGGATCAAACGTCTTCCATGCGAAAGATCCAGCCCCCGAGACCCGACAGTGCCCTAAGCCCAGGCGCACACCCTGCCTGCCTTTCGGGGTGAGCCATCTCGGTGTCCCCCGAGTCTGCCTTTTACATTTCTGGTCACTCTTGCAAACAACACTTTCCCTTCCGTGTCATACCCCCGAGCTAGGGATGGCAAACCCCAGATTGTTTTTTTTCCCCTTTAAATGTCTTCTTGACATGCTCGCTTTATAAATTAACCTCCCATTCAAGGCTTGTTGGCCCTAATGGGACAATCAACATCCATCTTTGTCGAAAAGACCCCCGCGGCCAGCGAGGGCACAGGGGCTCAGCCGAGCTGGGTTCCAATCCCGTCGCCTCCTCTCCCCGACCGTGTGACCTTGGCCGGGTCCCCCGTCTTTCCCAGGAAGTGAGGATTTCAGGGCGCCCCATCTACTTTGGGGGAATCTGGGAAGAGACGACCAGAGAAAAGCCCTCCGCGAAGTGGCTGCTGCGGAAAACAGGCCCTCGGTCGATGTCACCCGCCATCTAGAGCTGCGCGGCTACCGCTGCTTCCCCATCGCGTCACATTTTCTCCTCCTCGCCCCATTGCGGCGCTAGGATTTGCACCTGGGCCTGGCTGGGCTCGCAGCCCCCGCCGGGGCCTAGGAGGAGCCGGGAGAAGCACGGAGCGCCAGGCCGCAACTGGGGCCGGAGGCGGACCCGGGACCAGAGGAAATCTATTGCGGCTGCGGGAGTCCCACGACCCCACTCTTGTCCATCCCGAGGGCCCCGGCTCTACCTTTCTGAGCCTCTCCATCAAAACGCTCTTGTTGCCGCTCGAGTCCAGGTTCCGTTTCTTCAGCTCCGCCCGCAGATCGATCACCCGCAGGTCGCTGAGGCGCCGCGTCCCGGTCTCAGACGAGGCGGAGCTCAGAGCCGCAGCGCCCGCCGCACCCGAATCGCCTAGGCCTGAGAGAGTCTCCGCCATTCCAGGGACCCGGGCTCTACCACCCACTTCACACAGAACCGGGCCGGGGTTCTCTCAGCTCCTAGCACAAAATGGCGCCGCCTGCCAGAGAACTGCTCCAGCTCCCCGGCTCGCCTCGCTTCTGCGCAGGCGCACCTGGCGCAGGCCCGGTACTCGGTAGCGTCTGCAAATGCGTGGTGAGCGCCTTGGGGGATGTGCGCAGGCGCGTTGCGTCTCTCCAGCCTCCCGCTGCGAAAGGCCGGGACGCATGCGTGTTGTCTATACGGCGCCTGCGCGTAGTGGCTGGGAACGCGCGGTTGGTCGGCGCACTAGCCCGTGGCTGCGAAGAACGCCTGCATAGCCGGAAAGCGGGGCGGGAGGAAGTGATTGCGTTTTCCTCTTAGGCGGCGCCATTTTGTGCTCAGAGCCGCTACAGCCGCTGTCGGTGTGGGGAGTAGGTGCCGGAGACGGGGAACTCGGGATGGCGGAGACCCTGGCAGGCTCTGGCGACTCGGGTTCTGGCACGGCCGCGGTTGGTCCGGGCGCCTCGGAGGCGGGGA